AGCAAGAAGAGAGATAGGGAGATAGGAATTTAATGCTTTTTAGGGTGTCTGTGTCAAGGTGACCAAAAGCTGCAGGGGCGGGGAACTTGCTGCGAGCTCAGTTTTAAACTGATGCAAAAAGCGTTTTTTTTTTTCCCCTCTCTGCTGGCTGCCAGCCCCGCCTGACTTTCAGGCATGCCACACTGTCTCAGGGTGCATTATTGGCATCCAAAATACTGCTTAAGAAAGCTTTCTAACTCTTTGGAACACAAGTGACGTGTTAGCACAGTAGTTAAGGTATAGGGCCTATAACTACAAGGTTGTTAGTTCAAATCCTCAGTGAAGCCAGTCTTAAATTAGTGAAATCCCTTGGGGGAAAATTCAAAAGCTTAAAGGAAAAACAAATGGGGTTGTCTAGCTTCTGACCTTGTACCTCCCTCTAATGCATGATGGCCAACTTCAAGGTTGGGTTTTCAGGCCAATATGGGGGAAAATTAACCCCTGAAAACTCCACTCTTTATGTAAATTAGAATGGCCATCTTTTGGAATTGGGTGGCCTGACACTGGGACCTATGACACACACACACAAAAAATTACCCAGGCTGTATGGAAAATGGTCACAGCAACTGGATACCCTGACCAGTTTCCATATATTAACCAATGGTTGGATTTAGTTCAACAACCCCCTCCATGGCTAAAACGCTGCATAAAACAGGCTAGACTTCAGGTCATGTTAGCTGGTCCAAAGAAAGCCCTTGTGGGCCAGCCATCCATCCCACCCCAGCAGAGGATCAGGAATTACCTCCACCCTACTCAAGGCCCTCTAAACTAGGCCTCAGCACCCCCCTGGACAGCACCAGTAACCAAACCTTGTCCCCCCTGCATGCCCACAGCAGGGCTCCACACCCACCAGCAGTCCTTCCTCTCCGAGAGGCGCCCCCAACAGGAGAAGACAATTGGGGTCACCCATTCTTTGTTCACATCCCCTTCTCATGAAGTGACTTAGATAACTGGAAGGTGATAGAAATTAAAGCGAGGTCCAAAACACCAAGTGCTGACACAAGCTTTATTAAGAGCAAGGGAAAAGCTGCCGGGCAGCACCCAAAATTGGTGCTCAGCACCAGTGGCATGGCAAAGGGGATTTTTATGGCCTGCAAACCAGCAGATGCATCCAGTGTGAAAGGCTGTGCAGGAGGGGAGGGGCTAGGGAACTGCTGAGTTTAATAGTTCCCGGAAGGATGTCGTGCTAGGGAACTGCTAAGAGATTTCCTTGGAGGGGGTAGTGCTGGGGAATTGCTAAGATGGTGAGAGGGGGAGGGTTAGGAACCTGCTGACATGGAAAGTTCCCTGGGAGGGGGTCGTGCTGGAAGGCTGAGGCAGTGGCAGGGTTTTACAATAAAGTAAGTTCAGTCAAAAGACTCAACATCCCCCGTTCTCTAAGAAGCCTCAGGCTTTGACAGGGCTCTTAAAATCTGTACTCCAAATTCATCTCCCACTTGTGACGACTGCCAACAATTATTACTGATTCTGTTCACCACAGAGGAAAAAGACAGAATTAGACAGGAAGCCCTGAAAGCCATCATAGGTCCAGGGAGAGGAACAGTAGAGAGAAAAAAAAAAAAAAAAAAACAGGACTGAATTGAAAAGGTTTTTCCCTTTACCGGACCCCAATGGGACCCCAACACCTTGGGGCATCACCAGGCTCTGAACACTTTTCACCGGTCTCTTTCAGAAGTGGTTAGGGGAGTGGCCCACAAGCCCACTAACCTCTCCGAGGTAGGGACTGTAACTCAGGGTCCGCAGGAGTCGCCAGCTGCCTTCCTTGAGTGTCTACAAGACACTTACCACACCTCACTCCTATTGACCCTGAGGCTCCAGAAAATCAGTGGACCATCAATCTGGCTTTCGTTTCCCAGTCAGCCCCAGATACTGAAAAAAAGTTATGGAAGTTAGAGGGATTCCAGGGAATAAATTTAACCCAATTACTGGAAATTGCCCAGAAAGTTTTTAAAAACAGGGGTACTCTTAGAGCCATACAAGACAACAAACTTACTAAGGCATAGTAGTAGCCCTTCAGGAGACACAAGTCATTCCACAAGGGCAGGGGGCCTTGTAAAAGGGCCTCTGGGGTCCCCCGCCCTGGTTAGGAAGAAACCTATGTGCGTACTGTAAAAAAGGAAAACATTAAAAAAAATAAGTGCCCCAAAAGAAAAGAACGAGTAACCACTCAGGAAAAGCCACTGAGGGCTATCCTCAATTTTAAAGGTCAGGATTGACGGGGTCAGGGCTCTTATTTACTAAGCCCCCAGGAGCCCAGGGTCACTTTAAGAGTTGGGGACAAACCTGTCAGCTTCTCAGTCGAAACTGGGGTAGCCCACTCAGTCCTTAGCCTCTGGGACCACTATCCAGCAAAAAACAATTATCCAGGGGGCCACAGGAAAAACCACAACAAGCCCTTAGACCACCAACCGACTCATTGATCTGGGGAATGACACCATCACCCACTCTTTCTTAGTCATTCCAGAGTGTCTGTATCCACTCCTAGGACGGGACTAACTTCGCAAACTTCAAGCAAATATTTCTTTCTGTGACAGTCAAGCTTGTCTCTCAATTCCTCCTCCCTGGGCATCAGGGCCACCTTAGCAAATCCTCATCACCTGTGCTCCGTCAGAGGCAGATCAACCACCACCATCAGACTTCCTCCGCCAGTACCAAGAGAACATACCTGGAGTGTGGGCTGAGACAAACTCCCCAGGCTTGGCAAGTCATCTTACCCCAGCCATGGTCCAGCTATTGGCAATGGCAACTCCAGCCCAGGTACGAAAATATCCCATAAGCCAGGAAGCCAGAGGGGGAATAGCTCCACATATAACCAGACTCCTAAAAGGAGGGATCCTTACTACTTGTAAGTCCCCCTGGAAAACCCCATTGCTGCCTGTCTTAAAACCAGGCACAAAGGACTATTGGCCTGTACAGGACATAAGGGAGGTAGATAAAGAGTGGAAACTGTCCACACTATGGCTTCAAATCCGTATACCCTCCTAAGTCTCTTGGGCCCAGAAGACCACCATATGCCGTCCTGTATCTCAATGATGCATTCTTTTCCATTTCACTGGCCCCTGTTAGCCAGCCCATATTTGCTTTTAAATGGACTAACCCTGATACTAGGGTCTCGGGGCAACTCACTTGAACAAGACTGTCTCAGGGGTTTAAAAACTCTCCTACTCTAATGAGGCACTTAGCCAAAATCTTGCCACCTTTTGAGCTGAGCTCCCCAAGTGTACCCTACTCTAATATGTGAATAACTTACTCTTGGCTACAGAAATCCAGGAGGCCTGTAAAGAAACAACCCAGTCATTATTAAAGACCCTACAGACTTTGGGTTACTGGGTCTCAGCTAAAAAGGCCCAACTCTGCCAACCAAAAGTTACTTACCTGGGCTATATCATAGAGAAGGGCAACCGGGCACTGGGGCCCAGCTGAGTCCAAGCAGTGCTGCAAATACCCACCCCTACCACGAAACACCAGGTTCAAAAATTCCTTGGGGTGGTAGGATACTGCAAGCTGTAGATTCTAGGATTTGCCAAGATAGCCAAGCCTCTGTATGCCTGTACCAGAGAAAATCAGTCCCTGGCTTGGATAAAAGTAAAACAACGGGCTTTTAACAAACTTAAAACTGCCCTAACTACGGCCCCAGCCTTGGCCTTGCCAAACATTTCTAAACCCTTCCAGTTGTTTGAGCATAAAAATCGCTAAGGGGGTGCTCATCCAGACATTGGGACCATGGTCCCAGCCAGTCAAAAAGACTTAACCCCCCATAGCCCCTGGGTGGCCAGCTTCCCTGAAGTCAATAGCAGCTACAGCCCTGTTAGTCAAGGAGGCAGAAAAACTAACCTTGGGGCAAGAGTTAAATTTAGTGGCACCCCACACGGTAAAGTCACTACTCCGTGGAGCTCCAGGAAAATGGATGTCAAATGCCTTACTTTTGAACCAGACCTGCATGAAGTTTTTAAAGGCTACAGTTTTAAACCCAGCCATGCTGCTACCTGATAGCGAGCCAGAGAAGCCCATACATAATTGCCAGCAAATAATGGATGTCATCCACACCGCTCCACCGGACCTTACTAATGTGCCCTTACAAAATCTGGAGGAGGTACTGTATACTGATGGCTGCAGCTTCATGGTCAATGGAGTCAGGTATGTCGGGCAGCCATGGTCACTCTCAATAGGGTTATTTGGGCCCAGGCCCTTCCTCATAAAACCTCAGCCAAGAAGGCAGAACTCATAGCCCTAACAAAAGCCTTAAACTGGGCAGAGGGAAAGACTGTCAACATTTATATGGCCAGCCGGTATGCCTTTGTACATGGGGCTATTTATAAAGAAAGAGGACTACTTACCTCAGAGGGAAAAAAACCATCAAAAACAAAGAGAAAATCCTAGCCCTACTAAAAGCTATAAAAAAGCCGAAGGCAGTGGCATTAATACACTGCAAAGGATATCAGAAGGGGGATTCACCATACATGAGGAGAAATGGGGTGGCTGACCTACAAGCCAGACAGGCAGCCTTGGGACCAGTAAAACCTCTGACTCTTCTTGTAACTCTGCCGGCCCCAACCCTGCCCCCTACACCTACATACTCACCTGATAAAAAACCTTTTCTAAAGAACAAGGGGGCACACAAGATTCCACAGGATAGTAAATTCTACAGGACACAAAGATTGTGGTCCTTAAGGCTTTAGGATGGGCCCTGGCTAAGAACACACACTAGGCCAATCACTTAAGACAGACCAAACTAACTAAGCTGCTAAAAGCCAAATACTACATTCCCCACGTACATGAACTTATCAAAAAAATTACTACTGGGTGTGATGTATGTGCCTGAGTAAATCTGGGAGGGAACAGGTCTAGCCAGGTAGGAGTAAAACTCAGAGGGACTAGCCCTGGAGAGCACTAGAAAATAGATTTCACTGAAATAAAACCCCAACAAATGGCTATAAATACCTCCTGGTGTTTATACATACGTTTTCTAGATGGGTCGAAGCCTTCCCCACTAGGTCCGAGATTGCTTTGGTAGTCACAGAAAAAACTATTGCAGAACCTTGTTCCTCGGTTCGGCCTCCCTCTAATGGTGGGGTGGGACAATAGGCCCGCCTTTACTGCACAAATTTCTCAGTGCCTAGCCAAGGCCCCGGGTATATCCTGGAAATTACACTGTGCCAATCGTCCCCAGAGTTCAGGGCAAGTCAAACGAATAAACCGGACCCTAAAAAAAAAAAAACCCTGACAAAGTTTATCTTAAAAAACGGTAAAAACTGAGTCAGCCTGCTTCCTTTTGTCCTCCTCTGTGTCCAATGCATACCCTATCAAAAAGCCTTCTCTCCTTTTGAAATCATGTTCCGCAGGCCTCCTCCCTTCCTCCCCAGACTCACGGATACCGTGCATGCTGAAGTCCATAACTATACACTCCTAAAGTCCTTACAGGCGCTCTAGTCTGTTCAATCCCAGATACAATAGCTCATTAAGGACACCCGTCCCACCCCCCTGAACCTCACAAACGAGTCGACACACCCCTTCCAGCCCAGAGACTCTATCCTTGTTAAAAGATTCGCCACCGAGGGCCTCACCGCCGCACCACCCCCTGTAAAAGAAACCCTACACGGTTATCCTGGCCACACCCACTGCATTCAAGGTGGATGGACTAACAGCCTGCATTAATCACACCCACGTCAACACTGCCCCAGCGGAAGACCAGTGGAGCCTCAACCATTCATCCTCTGATTTACTAAAGCTAAAACTTGTGCGCTTTCACGGTTACCACCCTCGCCACACTAATCCATGCTGTAAATCGCTATAATAAACCCCCTTAAAACAAACATATAATAGTAACCTACTGGAGGAATTAATGACTTAATTCCTGTAAATGAAACAAGGGGGGAATGTGACATGGTAAAAGCCCCATAAAACCGCATTATCTCAACCATACCTCGGCTTTCTGTTGAAACTGCTCTCTGTAACCCTGATGTGACAGGCAAGCAGTCCAAACCCACACCATCTTGGCCCCTGTGACTTGTAATAAGTAACTAAGGCCTGTAATTTCCACCCTATCCAGGCAACGTGTAAGCTAATGCTTATCTTGACTTCAGTGAAGCACTTAAGTAACAATCAGAATGTCCTAAGCCCCTCACCCTCATCTCCGCCCAAGAGGTGATTTATGGAATGTCTGAAGTCCACTGGCCCTCAGAATGTCTGAAGCCCCTCACCCTCACCCCCCCCCCCCCCGAGGTGGTTTATGCGCATAAAAGGTCTTGACACCCTCCTTTTGGTGCCACGGGTTGGAGAGACGCGAGTCCTCCATGGTCGCCAGCAATAAAGACCCTGTAATTTGGCATACTTTTGTCTTGGTGTTAACTTTCTATGCCCGCTCTAGTACAACAAAGTGAATTGCATAAAATGACATGGACACACATGGAGTGGTTTTAAGGAGCAGAGAGTTTAATAGGCAAGAAACAAGGGAGAAGAAAGAATGAATAAGCTCCCCTGTACAGAGACAGAGGAAGGGAAGTTCCAAAGCTGACAGAGGAGACCTTGATTGTGGTGGATACCAGCCAGTTTTATGCAGGCTGCAGGAGGTGGTGTCTGATTTGCATAGGGCTCAGGCGATTGGTTTGACCAGGCATGTCATTCACATAGCTGGCAGAAAAAAGCTGGCCCTCCCACCCTAGCCTTTTACTATGCAAATGCAAGGTGCCACGATACTTTACACAAGTGGGGATATGTGGGGGCAGCCATGTTGCCAAGCACATGTGAGGGCAAGGGCAACAGGACAATGGTGGGAATTGCCATGTTCGGTGGACCCAGTTTCTAATGGCCTGCATTTGCATGTTTTTTTTTTTTTTTTTTTTTTTTTGAGACGGAGTTTCGCTCTTGTTACCCAGGCTGGAGTGCAATGGCGCAATCTCCGCTCACCGCAACCTCCGCCCCCTGGGTTCAGGCAATTCTCCTGCCTCAGCCTCCTGAGTAGCTGGGATTACAGGCACGCGCCACTGTGCCCAGCTAATTTTTTGTAATTTTTAGTAGAGACTGGGTTTCACCATGTTGACCAGGATGGTCTCAATCTCTTGACCTCGTGATCCACCCGCCTCAGCCTCCCAAAGTGCATTTGCATGTTAAAGGTTTCCTGCCTGGCTCTACAAGCCGGGGCTTTCCTGCTAGAGAAGAAACATTTCTGGAGCTGCTTTAAAAGAGATGTAGGGCCGGGCGCAGTGGCTCACGCCTGTAATCCCAGCACTTTGGGAGGCCGAGGCGGGTGGATCACGAGGTCAAGAGATCGAGACCATCCTGGTCAACATGGTGAAACCCCGTCTCTACTAAAAATGCAAAAAATTAGCTGGGCATTGTGGCGCCTGCCTGTAATCCCAGCTACTCAGGAGGCTGAGGCAGGAGAATTGCCTGAACCCAGGAGGCGGAGGTTGCGGTGAGCTGAGATCGCACCATTGCACTCCAGCCTGGGTAACAAGAGCGAAATTCCGTCTCAAAAAAAAAAAAAAAAGAAAAATCAATATACAAATTACAGGCATCCAGGATTCAGGAGAAGTGAGAATGAAAAGAACAGCAAGCTTATTCTTTTTTAAAAAGGGAGATAGGATTTAGATGGCATGTAGGAGGAGGAAGGACAGAATGGAATGTGGAAACTCATATCATGAACTTTTAAGTTGTTATCAAATAATTAGAGAGTTATAACTACAAGAAAGCTTATGTAAGCCTTAAATCCACAAAGAGAAACCTATAGTGGATACACAAAAATTGAAGTGAAAGTGATCAAAGCAAGCCACTACAAAAAAAAAAAAAAAAATCAAATAATAAGACAGTAAAAGACAAAAAGAGAAAGAAAAGACCTGCAAAATAGACAGAAAAAAATTAATAAAATGGCAGTAGTAAGACATCAATAATCACTTTAAATGTAAATGAACTAAATTCCTCCATCAAAAGGGATAGTGTACCTGACTGGGTATCATTTTATTTTATTTTATATTTTTACATTGTAGATTCAGGGTGCATGAGTGCAGGTTTGTCACTTGAGTATATTGCATGACGCTAAAGTTTGGGCTTCTAATCATCCTGTCACCCTAGTGGCTAACATTATACTTGAGAGGCATTTTTAAACTCTTGCTCTCCTCCCTCCCGCTCCCCTTAAAGAATTCCTAGTGTCTACTCTTCCTATCTTTTTGTCTGGGTGTACTCAATGTTTAGCTCTCACTTGTAAGTAAGAAAATGAAGTAATTGGTGTAAGGGTTATTGTCTTGTGAGGTTTATTGCTGAGTTTAAAATGAAGAAACTGAGGCCAGCACAAGAACAATTAAATGCCAATTTATTTAACTCCCAGATGAGGCTCTGTGGTCCTGGGGAAAGGGGCCAGAGAAGTCGTGCCCGACTTCTCGCAGGCATGGGGTTTTAAAGGGAGGGAAGGTGTTCCGATTGGCTGTGGAGAAACAGGACGTGGACAGGGCAAGCTGCTATTGGTAGGTAGGCGGGATTTCCAGTGAGCAGTCTGGATGCGGCAAAATGCTATTGGGCAGGTTTTGGCTGGGCTTCTTTTAAATTTTGGTGGGGTTTTCCAATGGCTGGCTAGGTGTCGATTGCAGAGTTTAGTGTTGAACAAAGATTCTGGTGTGGAGTGCAGAAGTGGGCATTGGTGCCGAGTGCAGAGTTTAGTGCTGAGTGCAGATTTTGGTGCAGGGTGCAGAATGCAGAGGTGGGCGTTGGTGCCAAGTGCAGATTCTGGTGTTGAGTGTAGAGGTGGGCATGTGTTGAGTGCAGATTCTGGTGACGTAATTTTCAGGCATGGAGAGGGATGGGCATGTCCGAGCTCCCGATGAGGCAACCGGCCTTACAATTGGCTTCTTGTTGCTGTGTTAATTCACTTAGGATAATGGTCTCCAACCATACCCATGTTGCAAAGGACATGGATTCACTCTTTTTTATGGCTGCATAGTATTCCATAATGTATGTGTATCACATTTTCTTTATCCAGCCTAACATTGGTGAGCATCTGGGTTGATTCCATGTCTTTGCTATTGTGAGTAGTTCTGCAATAAACATACAAGTGCAAGTGTCTTTTTGGTAGAACTATTTATTTTCCTTATAATACCAAATAATGGGATTGCTGGGTTGGTGGTAATTCTGTTTTTAGTTATTTGAGAAATCTCCACATTACTTTCCATGATGGCTGAACAAATCTGCATTCTGATCAACAGTGTATAAGCAGTCCCTTTTCTTCTTAACTTCACCAAAATCAGTTATTTTTGGACTTTTTAATAATAGCCATTCTGACTGGTATGAGATGATATCTCATTGTGGCTTTGATTTGCATCTCTGTGGTGATTAGTGATGTGAAGCATTTTTTCATATACATGTTGGTCACTTGCCTGTCTTCTTTTGAGAAGTGTCTGTTCATCTCAGTTGTCCACTTTTTAATGGTGTTATTTGTTTTATTTTCTTTTGATTTAAGTATCTTACAGATTCTAGGTATTGTCCTTTGCCAAATGCATAGTTTGCAAATATTTTCTCTCATCCTATAGGATGTCTGCTTCTTTTGCATGCAGCAACTTATCAGTTTAAGTCCCATTTGTCTACTTTTATTTTGTTGCATTTGCTTTTGGAGCCTTCTTCATAAATTCTTTTCCTGGATAAATGTCTAGGAGAGTATTTCCTAGGCTTTCTTCTAGGATTTTTATAGTTTGAGATCTCACCTTTATGTCTTTAAAACATCTTCAGTTAATTTTTGTTTATCGTGAGAGGCAGGTGTCCAGTTTCATTCTTCTGTATTATGGCTAGCCACTTTTCCCAGTACCATTTATTAAATAGGATACTATTTTCTGATTGTTTTTGTTGACTTTGTCAAAGATCAGTTGGTTGTAGGTGTGCAGCTTTATTTCAAAGGTCTCTATTCTGTTCCATGGTTTTACATGTTTACTTTTGTTCTAGTACCTGCTATTTCGGTTACTGTGACCATGTAATGTAGTTTGAGGTTGGCGAGATGTGATGCCTCAAACTTTATCCTTTTTGAGTAAAATCGTTTAGGCTATTATGACTCTTTTGTAGTTCTATGTAAATTTTAGAATAGTTTT